TTGTCTTGCAATACTTGCTTGAATTGCTGAAGCTCGACGGCCAGATGTTTTATGTCACAGATCCCTTGTGCTCTCTGAAACAAAGATTTACCCACGGTAGCTAACTGTGAAGAATGATCGTGAGATTCACCATTTAAATATCGGTTGGTATGGATCTTTTTCCTATACATAATGTGACCAATAGTATTATCAAGATTTCGGATGACTAAAACATCCAGGAAAGCTAAAGAATTATTTTCCTCTAACTCCATTGTGAGTTGTATTTTAGAGTTTATGGAGTTAAGGTGGTCTAAAAATGCAGTTGCTTTGTAAGATGGTAAAACTGTGAAAGTGTCGTCTACGTACCGCTTATAGAATCTTCGATTTACAGTAGCAGTCGGAAAAGCTTTGTCCTCAAAGTCCTCTATGAATATGTCAGTGACTATAGAAGATACAGGTGAGCCCATCGCCACACCATAGTCTTGCTTGTAGAACTCTCCCTTCCACAATAAATAGCCAGATGTGAAGCAGTGATTGAGTAATACTGCATATTCTGCAGACATGTTGTTATCTTCTAGCTTCCAATTGAGATGTAGTATTCAATAGGTAGGCATGTGAATAGTGACTGAACACCAAAACCGACCATAGATTCATTGTCAGCGAGATGTAGGTCTTTTATCTCACTAACAAAATGGTGTGAATCCTTTGCGTGTGCTCTGGTATGTCCTCTCGGTGGTGACAGTATTTTTGTCAAGTGCTTTACCTAAAAGTAGCATTATTAATTAATAAACCATACGGTACGTATTTCAAATTAAGGTGCACTTAATAATAATAAGATGTTACTGATGTTCATGTAACACTAGAATAACAATAATGACGTTATAACTTTCACTTGTTTTATGATTTATAAATCCGTTAAAAATAGTTTAATTTCGAAGTGTAACATTCTCCTAAATATTATAATATCATAACATAACATAACATAAACACTCACGCCTGTCACCCAGAGGGGTAGGCAGAGACTACGGACTTCCATTTGGCACGATCCTGACATACCTCTTTCGCCTCCTTTACATCCATATATCTACGCATACATGCTCGTCGGTTAAGGGTACTTCTAACGTGGCCCATTTTCAAAATATCGCCAATTTGGTCGATAAACTTTTTCCTAGGGCGTCCCTTCCCGACTCGGCCATTCACATCTGCTATATAAATTTGCTTTGTCACTCTTTCCTCATTCATTCTTTCTACGTGACCAAACCACCGAAGCATTCCTTTCTTAATCCTGGTCACAACATCATCTTGCATACCACATTTATCTCTTATCACGCAATTTCTCACCCTGTCATTCAGATTACACCCTAGCATATTCCTTAAAGACCGCATTTCTACAGCATTTATTCTACTTTCGTGCTTCTTCTGCCACACCCAGCTTTCACTACCATGCATTAAAGTAGGTAGTTTGACTAACACAGCATTATGAATTACCATACGTGCCTGTTTTGACAAATTCTGGTTCTTCATAATAGAGTGTAGTGCCCCATTCACTCTATTCCCTGCATTTACTTGTCGTTCTATATCCCTATCATATCTACCATCCCTGCTAAATACACATCCCAAATACACAAACTCATCCACTTGCTCAATCAACTCTCCTTTTATTCTTATTTCACATACCGTTTTGCTTTCTTCTCTTTCAAAAACCATCACTTTCGTCTTACTTGCGTTCACTTTCATTCCCCTTTCTTTTAATTCCCAGTTCATTAATGTAACCATCATTTGCAACTCTGCCGCCGATGACGCAAGTATGACTTGATCATCGGCATACAAAAGGCATTTGACGGTTAACTCGCCCATTCTTAACCCACATTCTTCATCTTTCAAAGTTTGCAAACACCGGTCCATAAATAGGTTGAACAGCCAAGGGGAAGCCACACAGCCCTGTCTGACACCTTTTTGGATGCCAAACCAGTCCGAGTAGACCCCATTGATCCTGACACAAGCACTAGAGTCCCTATAAAGAGACCTTAATGCCTGTATCAAACCAGCGCTCAACCCATATGAGTTCAGTGTTTGCCATAACACATTCCTGTCCATTATAATATCACTTTTCAATAAACCACTTAATACTTCTTAATCTCCATTGGTACTATTCTTAAAAAAAATGTAAAAGTCCATACTAAAACTGGCAAGTATAAAAATGGTATAGCGGAATCCAACAGCCTTCTACGGTGTTTCATAATATTATGAAGATTGTCTTCTGTGAAATGTCTTGAGCATAGCACACTATTTTTGGTGAGAAACCTTTGGTCCCCTCGACAAGTAGCGTCGATCCACATTTTTTTCCTTTTGGGGCATTTAGGAAATCTATAACATTTAGGTACCACAATGATACACCACTATTTTTATAAAATAATGACTTTAAAAAAATGTAAACGATGACTTGACTACTTATAAATCACAAAACTATCGATACACGTGCTGTAATTTACGTAATGAGTGAAAGGGACATTTCAAAAAGACATCAACGGGTGCTTATTGTTATCACTTTGCACCATTATATTACCAGTATACGTTGAACTCCGGTCCATTTCAAATAGGTTAACTTGATAAGAACAGAATGTATTTACCGATGAAATATTATGCCATCTTTTTGATAACTGGATGTCTTAGCTGACTTGACACACTATTTTACTGCACAGGAAGCCATTTGTAATGTATTTTGGATACAAGACTATTTTTAAATCTAGCTACAGCAAGCATGTGTTGCGCGCGTTTGTGGCCCTGTATGCGGAATCTCTTAGAAGGTAATCTGAGTTATTATATAATTATTGAATTTTCTTATATAATTATAATATAAATAATAAAATGATATAATTGTGGAAATGTAATAAATTTTATTGTAACTGTAATATTTGTATACCTAAGGGTTGAATGCAGCGAACATATTTTTATTAAAAGATCTGGTCTGTCTCATTACCTGTATTCACAAATAAAATAACTTTGAATTTGAATTTGGTTATTAACAGAGCCGTGTTAGCTCAGAGGCTAAGCGCTCGCTGTAAATTTCACAGTATGCGATCAATCCGGGTTCGATCCCCGCCGGCACCAATGTAATTGTTAATTACAATTTTAAGTGCTGATTTACAACGTTCTCCACTGGGAAGGAAAACATCTTGTGGAAAGCTACACATGTCTGAAAAATAAGAAAAAAAAATTGGAAGACATGTAGATTTCGCTAACTCGCATTGGGGCAGCGCGGCGGAGATTTCCTTGCCCTAAAACACTTTCATAAATGAGATGAGGCCTGTGCCCAGCAGTGGGAAGTATAAAGGCTGTAACTTTAACTTTTCTTTGCTGGACACAAGTTTCTTATTGTTGTAAATATTATTTGTTATCACCACACTCGACAAACCGATTCGCGACCGTTTAGTGCTTTGCGGCACCCATGGTCACGGGCACCTCAATGTTTGACGTTCCGATGTCACAAATCCCCCGGGGTAACGTCAATTTTTGAATATTATTTTTTTGGTCCGATCTATCCAGTACAGGCTTACATTATCTTGAATTCTTGTAGTTGTATGCTTGGGTTTGGATCAATGATGGTACTGCACATCACTCGAAACGTAAATAAGGTAAACATAAGTTAAACTTGAAAAAACCGTAAAATTAGTTTTATTCAAAAATCACGAAAACAAAATAAACGTAAATTTTTAGAAAGTTCATCGGCTTTGATAATACATCTTAAAAGTCAAGACTGCCTTGATGACGATTGTTTGATGCAATTAATAAATTGGACTACATTAGAATAATTTTCTTATTCGGATGATTCCATTCGCAATTGGGGTTGCTAATTAAGTAAAGAAAGTAACATCGGGAACCTCGAAGCAACTGACGTCACTAGTCACTACTAATAAAACTTCATTCGATTTTTTTTCGGACTAAAGTCGATCGATCTAAAAATAACCTGGGCTGATTCGCTGGTCCAGCCAGGTCGTGAACGTGATTGCTGATTATGAGATCCCAGATTTGAATCTCGGATCTGGCTAAAATAATTTAATGCGTTTTTTTTTTATAGGATAAGGTGACAAACAAGCATACAGTTAACCTGATGCTAAGTGGTTGCAGCGGCCCATAGACATCTACATCTATCCTCGATTACGAATCAAAATGTAGAAGCGTTGTCACCCGTGAGGACTAAGATGGAATGCCTCGTTTCTAGTAAAAAGGGTCTCCGGTTCTCTACACTCACCATACGAAACACAGCAGCATTAAGCTACTATTTCACGCTGGTATTCTGTAAAGAAATTCTCAGTAACAGAGTTGTCATACCCTCGTGCTTCGTAAAGCACGTAAAGCCGTTGGTCCTGCACTTGATCTCTCTCCGGTAGTGTCGGATTGCCGTGCCAAAAAAAACCTCGCAACACAGACTGGCCGCCGTCACCGAAATTCGGTTTGGATGATATTAAAGTTAAAGTTACATCCTATATACGTCCCAGTGCTGTGCACAGGCCTCCCCTCATTTCTGAGAGGGTTTTAGGACAAGGAAGTGTCCGCTGCGCTTCCCAATGCGTGTTGACGAACTTCACATGTCTTCGAAATATTTTTTTCCTTATTCCTCAGACATGCAGGTTTCCTGACGATGTTTTCCTTCTCCAACAAGCACGTGGTAAATTCAGCACTTAAAATTGCAATTAACAATAATTTCATTGGTGCCGGCGGGCATCGAACTCGGGTTACTCGGGTTCCGTTATATTTACAGCGAGCGTTAACCATCTGAGCTACCACGGATTGGATGATATTATTACTAGTTTATTATTTATATTATTGCTTTTAAAAGTGCACTTAGATATATGAGTAATATAAAAATTGATATACGATTAGTGGAATAGCGCAATACACCCTGTTTATTGCACACCAATTTGAAGGAAAAAAATTCCTATCTATCAATAGTATATTATGTTAATGGTTAATAAGCGAGATGTGCAAAAAACATTATTTAGAATTGTTTGTGTGCACAGGTCTGAACCACGGGCCGGTGATTGCGGGCGTGGTGGGCGCTCAGAAACCGCAGTACGACATCTGGGGGAACACCGTCAACGTCGCCTCGCGCATGGACTCCACCGGCCTCATGGGCAGGATACAAGTCACCGAAGATACCGCCAAGTACTTGCTCATTTACTTTCACCTTTTCGTGTTTATGTGTATCTCATGTTTCATTGACTGCTTCCGTGGTGTTGTGGTTGTAAATGATTCTGCTGATCACGTGGTCCCGGGTTCCCGGATCCTTTTGGCAAGAAACTCTCAGCTCAGAGTCGGGAAGTTGGTCTCGTGGTTGGAGAAGCATGACATGAAACGTGTCGGATTGCCACACCATCGGACTATGCGTGTTTGAAGGCAAACAAAATTCCTATCTATCTATGATAGTGAGGCGTTTATTTTATCTGTTCCAGGGTCCTCATGAACGTTGGCTACACATGCGAATGCAGGGGCCCCACATATGTCAAAGGAAAGGGAACATTAACTACATACTTCGTGAAAACGCCTAATTACGGCAGTGGCACATAAAACCAATGGAGTAACTAATAGTTTTTTTTTTAGTTTTAAGAGAGTTATTTTAAGTAATTATTATTTTAAGATTGCAGTGTAAATATAGCATACTACATTATAATTCATCTTAAATCAATTTCAAAGTGATTTTTTTGAAGTTGAGATATATGGATCATTATTATAGTTTTTAAAAAATATAAAACTATAACGATGAAAACACGTCTCTATTTTTCTAGCCATTTTGAAATAAAATAATTTAGTTTCACCTGCTGAGATTTTTTGTTTACAGATTAATCAAATTTCATTGTATATATGACATACTACATTATTTCATATTATATAAATTTTAAAGTGAAACTTTTGAAATTGATCATTGTAATATGGTTATAAAAAAATAACAGAAATCTATGAAAACACATCTCTATTTTTCTAACGATTTTAAAATAAAATCGTTTAATATAGCATAAAAATTACTCAAAGACAATTATATTAGTGTTATCATTAAGATACTTCCATGTTTTCTAACTTTGATGAAAGTTACAGCTAAACTGAAAAAAAATCTCTAGTATTTTTTTTGTAATTGCGCACTGACAAATATGTCCGGACCTAAAACAATTACGAATACTTGTAAATCGATATATAGATGGTATTCGACCAACGTCAAAAAGACCGCAGCCAAATAATTAGTCAATATTATACACAACTGTTAAAATTCACTTGAAAAATATGTAAAGAAAAATATGATAATTTATAAATATATACATAAAAATTTAACATTATATTTATAGGCTTATTACTTTTAAATCTTTCAGACCAAGAAAAAAAGATAAACGAAATAATACTAATACTTTAACTGACGCTAAAACAAAGATATAATCGTGCTTAACTTTTGTAAGAATTCGCACTAACTCACACGTATTATGCACATAATTTTTACTATAGAATACGAGCTGGCACAGAGCACACAGTCCACCTGATAGTAAGCAGATAGTGTAGCCCATATATATATCTATATTATATATTAATCTATATATATATATATATATATATATATATATATATATATATATATATATATATATATATATTGTTATATATAGGAGGATATATAATCCTCGTTAATAATCAAAATGCAAATGCGTTGTTACCCCTGAAGAATAAACTGCCTTTCCAGTAAAAAAAGTGCTCTCCCGTTTTCTACACTAACTATACGAAACACAAAAGAATTAAGCTGCTATTTCACTGGTATTCTGGTGTCCTCGGTCAAGCCGACCTATTTTTGTTACAAACTATAATATAGCTGCACCGTGACTGACATACAACATAAACATATTGAAGGTAATGAAATCAGTTCGCTAAGTATTAAGTATACAGTGTAGTGGCGATGTAGCACTATCAACTACTCCATATTGTGCCGTAGGTATCGTAAGAAGCGACAGAAGTAAGCAAACTAGGGTTTGGGCAGCGGTACACTTCCTGGAGACAACTAGAAGGTATAAGACTGCGCTTGTCAACACGCCTTCCATGCGTAGGAACTGTGGCTAATATCCTCTTTGATGAAGTAATTTACAGGAGGCCTATGTTCTATGCTCAACAGTGGTCCTTGATAGGTTGTAACAATTTAAAAATCAGTTCATGTGATTGAAGTGTTGGAAGTGTGGTGTAGTCATTACTTAAGTTGTACGTACCTAGTGTTCTACGAGTATCTATCTTTATGTATTTTCTTATCATTTTATGAACACACATAAAATGGATAGTTTATACTAGGGCACTACATCATAATGAAATTTATTTCAGTAAAACAGTCACAAAGCAGCATTCATTTTATAGGACCACCGTGCACAACTAATATTGCTCTACAACGCGAAAAAAAGAAAAGCACACAGTCTACATATCACCTGATGGTAAGTGACGCTCCGAAAAGTCTGCAATCTGTGAACACATACAAGATCTCCCCCGACTACAAATCCCCGCTAACGAACATCGATTCCTTCCAATCCAATTGAAATGAAAAAAAAAAACCATTCTAATTTCAATAAAAAAGATGGCTGGATGCTACCATTTGTTTGGAATCCTATAATTAATACCAAGCATACAACTACAAGACTTCAAGATATTATAAGTTCTTACTGCGTAGATTGGAACAACAATTAATATTTCAATCTGGAGGTAGGCGTGGTTAACTATGAAATTGGGACGTCGAACAGCTCAGCTCCCTCGTAACCATGGGTGCTATAAAGTGCTCGAAACGTCGGGAATATAAAATAAGCTAATATACGCGATAAAATCAGTAAAAACTAGTTTTACTTATATTACAAGAAATTAATGATGTAAATATAAGAAATCATTACGTCAATATATTCAACATATCTTTATGTCTTTTTCATCATATCTTAATATCTTTGTTTCTTAGTTTGACAGAAAACTTAAAAGGGATCAAAACCCCATTAAATTATTGCCAAAGGAATTATGTTATAATTAACAAATTTTAATAATTACTAAAAAGTTAAATTATATTTTATATGCTTAAGAATATAATATTAGTTTAATTTTGTAAATAACTAACTTATTATAGTAATAGGTGTGAATAGCTGGATGATATATAAATCGATACTGGCAGCTAAATATAATATTAGTTACAACGTAAGCGTAAGGGTTAGAGTACGCCTTCACAAAAATGCGCGATTCGAAGTGGTCTGAGCCCATCAGTAGGACATACGTAGAGCTTTACTTTATAACTCGAATATTATATTTAGACGTACCTAAAGTACGTGAGAGTAATATGATCAACTTAAGCTTTACCGCCCTATAAAATAAAAACTAGGAGAAGAACGCAGACAAAAACACAAAGTCGGATACTACAACTAATAAATTAAATTAAGACATGTTGCTAAATAGAGAAGTCCTAAAATTGGCCTATTATGCTTTGTGTCAATCTTTATTAACATACGGAATTGAAGTCTGGGGTGGAGCAGCCAAATTGAACTAGAGCGTGCGCAAAGATCACTTTTAAAAGTTATCCATTTTAAACCTTACTTATATCCAACTTTAGATTTGTATAGAATTAGCGAATTTATTACAGTTCGACAATTATTTTTGCTACATATAGTTTTAAGGCAACATACAATTTCAAAAATAACTCAAAAGGAACATTGCCGGCGTTCTCATCTGGTAGCTCAGTCAGTTCATTTCTTCCAATGATTTCAAAAGAAAGGATAGGCCCATCTAAATATTTTACTCATAACTTTTTCGTACAAGAAAAAGTAGCGCATCTGTCATAATACAAACGTCATATCATAACACGACGTAACCAGGGTCGGATTTCGTAGTATAATTATCCTAATTATACCATTATTTCGTAGTTTGTTGTATATAGTATCGTAATAACACTAAGCGAAAATACCATAATTTTACATAAAGGTCGACTTGTATTATTATTGGGTCCTTTTACTTTTTAATTTTAACCCCACGATATCGAGAATTTCTGTATTGTACATGAGTACCGCGTTTTTTTAATAAAATTAGAATTAGCTCCCTTTTGATCAATGGGTGTTCGATCGATGCATTTATGTTGCACCCTTTATACCACTATAATGAGGGGCTATCACGATAAAAAACTCTATACTCCAGAAGCAATCGATTTGAAAACAGAATTTCAAAATATTTTATGAATCAGATTTTCAGATTCAATTAAGCAGATATGGTTTCTTTTGTACTCTTTTCGTTTTACCCTTATTGAATATAAAATATATTAGGTACCAATATTCAAAATTTCCCCAATATTCAAAAAATCCCCTCCGGCACCAATGAAATTGTTAATTACAATTTTAAGTACTGATTTACCACGTGCTTGCCGATGAAGGAAAACATCGTGAGGAAACCTGCATGTCTGAGAAATAAGAAAAAAAATATTTCGAAGACGTGAAGTTCGCCAACTTTTCGTTTTACCCTTATTGAATATAAAATATATTAGGTACCAATATTCAAAATTTCCCCAAATTTTGAATATTAGTACCTAGCAAAGAAGCTTTGACAATAATTAAGAACACTTCAAAAAATCTACTTAAAAACTAACTACACTACACCATACTAAAATCGACTAAAATATTAACTATTTATAGTGCTTTATCCACGCCATTTTGACAGTTGATATTTTAATATCAAATGTCAAAATGGCGTGAATGAAGCATCACATTTTTAACCCTTTATTATTTGATTGACTGATGAAGAGCTCTCGTATCACAAAGCCATCCATGCAAACATGGCTGTAGTTTTTGAGTTATAGGAAAGTGACCATATTAACCGGATGGCCATATTACCCTCACGTACTTTACATATTAAAATTAGTCCAAATTTAATTGTACATACCAAAGACTTCTATTACTCTGGAAATCCATAACAAAATCTGTGATACAACTGTGGATCACAAGCGTTTAGCGAGATGGATAAACTAAGATTGGTCGGACAGTCCTTTACGACATTTACTTTTTTGGCAAATTATTTGCCTCAAATACGACATGATGTTTCACACTTATCTGAAATAAACTTCAAATAATTTTGGTAAATCACGTTGGTAAAGTGCAAACATGAATACTAACAGCGTTTTCTTAGACACATTAAACAATATTAGTGTTGGATTGTCTAAAACAACCGGTTTACGTAACAAAGAACTAGTCTTCTCACCCGCTCGCTGTCGACTAAAGAAGTTACGTAGAATTGACCGTAACTTAGTGCGCAATGTATTAGTAAAATAGTGCCCGTAGAAGTCTTTATTATAATCTAAGGTCCACCACACACTACATACGGAATTCCGTTTCGGAATTTCGAAACGGAATGAGCGGGTCAGCCACACACATACGGAATCCAGTTTTGTCCGCAAAATTAATCCCGAAAATATAAAAAAGAATCCCAAAAAGGAGTTCCGTATGTAGGCCTAAGGCCGGCCACATTCAATTCGGAATTCCGTTGCAGAATTCAGATTCGGGATTCCGAACGCAGCAAGTCCATGTAAATTCAAG